AAAAAAAAAAAGACCCATTGTGAAGGTAGTTTTCCTTCAGGAAGTCTTCTCTCATCAGCATTAATGCAAGCTCTGAGTTACTTTCCTCTCCTTGGAATCCTATAGCTTTTTCCAATCTCTACTTTTCCTTATCTTAAAAACAATGCTGAGTATACACATTTTGCTCCATTTGGGCTGCTATAACAAACACCATAAACCAGCAATCTGTAAATACAGATTTACTTCTAGAGGCTAGAAGCCCACAATCACTATATCTTGAAATAACAACTACTGGAAGACCCATCAAATTTGGTGGCCAGTTCACAAGACTGTGCCTTCTGGCTACCTTCTCAGCTGACAGGAGACATAACGTTCTCTCAGGTCTCTTTTTAAGGACACTGATCCCATTCAGAAAAGCAGAGCCTCACCAGTGGATCACCTCTTAGAAGCCCCACCTTTCAATACCGTTACACTTAGGCGGGGAAACAGCTCAACCTGATCCAAGCTTCTGCCTGGCAAACGCAAGGTCCTGAGTTTGATTCCTGGTACAAAAAAAAAAGAAAGAAAGAAAGAAAAGAAAGAAAGAAAGAAAGAAAGAAAGAAAGAAAAAGTGCTATTGGACTTGAGATTGAATTCCAGCGTGTGAACTTGAGAGAAACACAAACATTTAGACCACAGCAGCATATAAATGTGTTTCTATGACCTGGTCAATAGAAATACATCTACAACAAGAAAGGGCTCATAATTTATGCAGCCACCTTAGGCCGTGGAAATTATATTAAAAAGAACTGAAAAATAAATAGTCGGATACTGATGCTACCTAGAAAATTGCCTGGTATAGAGTTAGTGAAAAAAATAACAGTAACTCCAAGTCTATATCACAGCTCTATCACTAGAAATTTCCTAAATTTCATAATTTTATACAGATTTTCCTAAATGATTTTTATAGCCCACAATTATAAATTCAAACTGAGAAAGATAGAATAAGATGATAGTAACTCTTAAAACAAAGTAGAACAAACTTTGGCTTATGGGTCAAATTGAGCTGGCCATCCTGACCTTTCATAAAATAAGTTTTATTGGGGTGTAGTGATACGTACTTACTAATTGACATGGAAAACAACGACATAGAGGAGTAGTTTTCACTGAATATCATATGAATAACAAAGCTTAAAATATTTACTTTTTGGTCCTTCAAAGAATTTTCTTATACTAGCAGGAAAAGAACACCCAAGCCAAGAGGTGAAAGGCACCAATGCAAATATTCCGGCACTATATATTGCCTCTTTACTTTTATTTATTAATTTATTTATTTTTTGGTGGAACC